CAGCAGAGGTTAGACTGAAGTAGTGCCAGAACAAGTATGCAAACCCTGGGAAGGAAGCATGGCAAAGCCAATGCAAAGCTACCTACAACATACTAGCCAGCATGACCGCGTGTTGTACCCTACTTTCTTATTCTTCTAAAAGCTAGAACAGTGATAATCAGCGTCTGTCTGGAAATTTAGAAGAGGCACAAGTTAAGTCGAAGGAAAAAGAGCACATTTGTTTATTTGGAAGTCTAAGCAATCATAATAAACATATACTCAAATAATCAGCTCCTGTGTAATTACCCATTTGCAAGCACAGTTATTAGGTAGGTAAATTCACTCTTTTTTGAAAATGCAGGTCAAATATTTATCTCTGAGATATATTAAATGCAACACAAGATTGCGCTAAAGGCGTATATTAGACTGTAACATTTACAAAATTGAAGTGTTTAGACTCTTCAGACCTTTTTTAAAGCCTTGACCTTGGAAACAAATAAGGACAGTGTTATTTTAATGTGCATTCAAATTTTAACAACATAGTCACACAGCTCTAGTGGAATCCACATTGAGTTTCCACTGTAGATTGCTCATCATTTCATTATGGTTCATTATGCTGATAACTGTCAGAAAGCATTAGAAGCAGGAGCCTTGAGTAATAGCACTGAAATGGTAATTTAAAAACAATATACTTTCTGGAGGAAATACAGCAGTGCACTAAATTCAATTAGAAGAGGCGAATGTAAAGACAAGTAAGTGACGTTTGCTGTTTGAAGTCAGGCTCTTCGATTTCTTGATAACCTAAACTGGAGAAAGCCCTTTCAAAGCAGGCACTTTTCTCTTGCATCTCACTAAATTTGCTCTCATTATCTCTAAGGTTTGTCCGTACAAACTGTCTTAAATGCAACCGTTTTAGAAATATTTCAGGCCACGCCAAAATATCAATCAATCAGTCACTGTTTGGGTGGCACAACTGACTAAATTATTCAGGGTCATTTACTGAGACAGATTTCAAGCTGGACAGTCTATGCTGGTAATCTCTCTTTTGTAAAGGCACCCAATTAAAAATCATTAATAATCTGAATCGAACAGACAATATAAACAATACAAAACCGTCCTGTACTCACTCATAATGTGAGTATTGTTTGTTAAGAAACAGTTAGAGAACCCAACTCATTAACGGTGGGGATGCAGGACCAATGCCCATTAACTTGGGTGGGAACTGCACCTGCCTGCGCCAGGCTGCAATTCACAGAGTATCTCCTTACGGAGAAGGAAATTCAGGGATGAGGACCATGGCTGAGACTGATTGTTTTCCAGCCTCATGGATTTGTGTGTTGGTAAGGCAATTTATTCTCCATTAGATTGCTAACCTTATGAAAGACCCATCCTCTCAGCAAGTACTGAAATATAATGAAAGTCTGAACGGTTGCCTTAACATTATTTTTGCGATGCTTCCAAAAGGGAAAGGTGTCCATATTTTCCACAGTTTGTGCTCAAGTGTATTACAGGTCAATCATACCATCTCCATGCCCAAGCACACAGCTGACAAAGCCCACTGTGCTTCAGAGTTGAAAGTCTAAATTCCTGAGTTAGGTCAAAGCAGCAGATCCAGGGCAGCTCTGCTCCTCAGTGGTGACAGACACATTGATGATATCCCCATGAGGGAAGCTTGAGTGAAAAGATGCATCAGTAAACACAGGTACGTCAGGGTGTCTACGCCTGGCCTTCCGAGACAGCCCACTCCACCATCTCCTACGCTCACGTCCCTCCACATTCTGCTCTTACTTATACGAGATTTAAAACAGACATAACTTATCACTGTAGCAGAGCTGAAATAGAGCAGAATACTAAAACTAGAGTTTAAGTTATCTGTTTAGATTGGATGCCTGGCTTACCTGAATGTTAGGCACAGTTTTTACAACTCAACATTGGATTGAGATGTCAGAGAGTGGCGTTGCAGAATGAGAAAACTCTGGAGCACCTCTGCTGACCAGCGCATCAGGAAGTAGGTGTTGCTTTTATTACTCACCATGGGAATTGCGAGAAAGAAAAAGGAAGGGGAATTCTCCAATTCCCTTTCACCCTCTAGCACAATCAGGCTAATGGAAAGTCATAACGGTCTTCCTCCCCCAACCTAGAAGGCGAGATAAGTGACGAGGCCAGACAGTTTATTACTAAAGGAAATCAATAGCCAAGGGTCAAAGCTTTACAAAAACACATCCTAAGAAGGCTGAAGTTCTTAATCTTAAAAAGTGTTTAGAAATAATACAGAAAGGATCAATCCGCAGTCCATTCCAGGTGTTCTCTCCAAATTACCCAATGTTACTTTTATTCACCTGATCTAACAGTTCTCCAAGTGAACAGAAACCTGATTTTACAAGCCAGTGGAGCAGAGTCTATCTTTTTGCTAGAAGAATGGATCTCAGATACTGTGTTTTATTTCTTCATTAGTGCGCCGTCACACTGAGTGATTACTAAATGCAGGGCTGAATGAGAATACCAGGGTTAAAGAGAGCATAATGAACAAAGAAGGTGCCTGATTATTATGGCTGTCAGCACAAGGGAATTGGGTTTGTCACCTGGTTTAACCAACTGGTAAGAACTGATTAGAGTCTGAATCCGTCTGAAAGAACCTTTGATGTTTACGCTCCCTTCTGTCTCCACATCTTGTCAGGAAAGGCAGACAAACGGGGAGCTTCTTCCGGAGGGACTTCCTTCAGCAGAGGCCCTTGAAATGCCTTCTGTCACTTGCCTCAAGCGCGTGGGCAGAAGGCTACTTCGGTGTGGGGAGCACGGCAAATGAACAGCCCCCCCTTGCACCCCGCTCCTTGCGCAGCGCAGAGGTGCACCACGCGCACAGGGCTGCATTTTGTGCCTATGCAGGTACCACCATCACAGCAATGTTCAAACACTGCTAAGGCAGACCTCAGAGAGGGGCTATTAGCAAGCGCAGCGCTGGGTGGGGAGCAAAGCTGCCCCACGAACTGGCTCAGAAATAACCTCTGTGTCTTCCTTCACCTTGGATCACAGAAAAAGAAGCCCTTAAGCTACAGGAAAATTCAAAGCTATGAAATGGGACCTCCAGAGACAGGCCTGTTTTCCAAGACCAGGTGTCCGTGGGATTGTGGTGTTGCTTGTCTCTGCATGCCGACTCCTCCTAGACTGCTGCAGAGATGAAGACTGAGGCCAGCACCATGGCCTGTGCCTTCTCTTCTTCCCTCTTCATATTTTCAGGGTAAAAGACCAAGATCAGGGACTTCACCTTTGACTGACCTCCGAAGACGGGAATGGGGAAGGGTGCCAGAAGTAGGCTCAAGACTTGACAAAAAAGGGCTAAGCTTGCAGGGGTACATTTTGCAATACAAGCAAACATACATATCATTTGCTCATAATTCCCCCATCTGGAAATGTTTTGTCTCTCCTCATACTTCACTCACTGCACATGCCTATTTAAATTCAACCGGTTGATTACTAATTTGATTTCAATTTGGTCACAATATCACTCACTAGGACCAGGCCTTTATGAGAAACTTCTACTGGTATAATGTTATTTAGGGTGTACCTTCCGAACAATAGTTTTATTGTTGCAAAAAGACATTTTTCCTATCAAAATGGTCAAGCCTTATATCTCCTAGTGTAAATTATATTATAAAAAGCAAGTTCCTACCCACTTCAGCAAGGTTTCACAATACAGTTAGACCTCCACCCCCAGTCAACATTTGGCAAGGGATATACAGACCTCTCTACTTTCCTACTAAGCAAAAGCAGCTGCTCCTGGCTATGCCCAGACCTGCTTAACCACCACCCAGCAAAACTCACAGCTGAAAAGGAGGAGATCACTAAAGAAGAGCTGGAATCAAGGGGGTGTGGGGAAGGCATGAATGCTGGCTTAGTTATGGACATACTTTGTTTCTGCCTTGTAAGGGAGAAATTAAGATTTCAATAAATGTGAGTCATCTCTCCAAAATGAATTTGGAATATATTAAAATGTTACAAAAGAAGGATCTCAGCCTTCCCTGACTCACAGACACACACACACTCTGTACATAAATACACAACTGAACTCCAAAAATCTAGAAGCATTTCCAATCGCTTTCAGGGAAAGCCACACGTGGATATCCCCTGGTAAAATACAGCCCTTTCACTTATTGTTTCAAACTGCTCTGCTCTTATGGAAGTGAAAACCGAAGAACTAGATGATCATGATTTACCAGGGCATGCCTGGAATCCCAGGTCTTCGGCTGCACGAGCCATGAACCAACACGTAAGACAAGGAGTTGTTCCAGCAACCCCGTGTGTGTGCTCAGTGCACTATGCCTCTTGTTCTCCCCGCTGAAGGCATTTTGGTGGAACTAAAGCAGATTCCATTTGCTGTACATGACGTATTGATCTACAAAGGATGAAATAAACCATACTTTGGGTGTTTGTTTCACTGAGGTTTAAGATTTATTATTACCACTCCTTTTCAGAGGAATACTTTTATGTTCCTAAGGGTCCCTAGCTATATTTTGAGCAAATTAGACATATAAGGAGATTACAAATATTACCTATTTACCCTAGCTCATACAATTATGAGAAAAGCTTTCACAATTTCTACAAATATCAATATTTAAAGAGATGAAAGGTGATGTGATCTACTGGAGACAGGTCCTCAGACTGGAACTTAGACCTGTATTTTATTTCCCACTCTGAGGTGTGCAAGTCACTCCTCTTTTGCGGCTTTGTCTCCTCTCAGTCTCCTGATTTATTTATTTTGCACTCCCTCTTAAGGGCCAGTGCAACCATGTCACTCTTAGGAATTCAGGGCTGAGAACTAACGCTTCCTGTCCCAGAAGTGGGATCCGAAACGCAAACTGCATCTGCAAAGGGCTGTAAAAGCTACCGAATGCTGCTCTCAGAAGCAGGACACTTCTTAGGGACACAGATCTCCAAGCAGTATTTCCTACATATAGAGTGAAAGAAAGACAGGAGAAGAAATGGATGATAAAAGGGGAGAGACTGTTCAAAGACCAACTTACGAGTGCAGGGCATGGAGGCAGCATCATTTTCAGCTCGGAAAAAGCCCCGATCGCAGGTGCAGGAGGTAGAGCCTTCCCAGATGGAGTAGCTGTGAGGCGGGCATTTGGCACACGCAACATCTGTCGAGAGAGCCTTGTAGTATCCGATTTTGCAAGCTAGATGGAGGAACAGGAAGGGAGAGTGTTACTTGCCCAGGCCGTGATCATAAATTGCTGGCTTACTTATTCAAAATCAAGGCAGGAGACGTTTCAAAGAGATCTAATGATGTCCTCTTAGCCCCAGGTGAAGAATTAACAATCATCGTACTCTTAATGAGTAATCCTATGTCAGGGGATACTGATTTTTAATTCCAACAAGAGTCATTTTAAAAGCTGGCTTGGAGATGGTAAAAAAAAAAAAAAAATTATACTCTTCTATTGACACTGCCAGAAAATCATCTGCCTCTTTGTGCTTACTGTGGAGTTGCATGGTGCTTAACCAATGTCCACCTGCATTCACACACACACACAGAGCACAACAAAAGGGGTGCAATTGGTTTATTCTATGACCACTTAAGGAATGGCAGCTGACAGTCAGACACTGCCAATTTTTAAGAGGGAGTGGGACAGGAACCCACTGGGATTGGCAGCGAGGCCCTCAGCCTAACATGCCCGGAAATGGCACGTCTCCCTCCTGGCAAGGCAGAATTCATTTGGCTCTTTCTCCCCAAGGGAGGAAATCAGCAATGCTCTCCCCTCCTCAAAGCCAGGGCATAGCAGTGACTGCACCACAGCCACCAGGTCCCGCACGCAGTTGGCAAGCTTTCGGTGACATCATCTTCATAAATGCAATGCTTACACGGATGGCTACTTTTACATCACTTGGAAAAAACTCATTAGCATCATTAATAACACATTTTAGTAGTGGCTAACAAGTATGTCATCCTAGAAATTTCTCCCTTGGCTAGGGATAAAAGCCCACCATCACCACTGGCTTTCAGCGCTATGGAGAACAGAGAAAATACCCAGGCACGCAAACGCATAAAAAGGAAAGGTTGTTCCCAGTATTTACCACGTGACTCACTCTCACATGTCATAATTTATCACCTACGCTACCTTTAGGGTTCCCCTGCTATGTGCAGGCTCCAGAACACAGGGCGCAGCCCCCCGCACAGCCGGGACTCGCTCTTTCTCATTTACCCATCCCTTAGTCCCCCTCGTTCTTTCCCTCTTTCTCTTATGAAGCCCTCCAATGGGAAATGGAGAGGAATCTTAGTAACGCATTTATAAAACAGCAAGTTACTTCATTCTTATTAACCAAAGCCATTTATGGAATTTCCTTAATGAGCCCTAACTTTACGATGTGCTGTGCACCGTCTGTAAGAGCGCTGGGAGATCAGTCCGCTGTCGCTCGCTGGGGCTGTCACTGGACCAGAGGATCTCATAAAAACACATTGCTCAAGTGACCAAGATTTATGGTTCCAGAGTTTACATGCATCACGTTATTAGATAAGGTTCAACTTGCAGGGTGCTTTTTGGCCATGCTTCAAACGGCCTTGGGGTTTCGATTAAAATCAGAAACCACAGCTTTGGCAGGAAGAATCATGGGGGTCAAACCCAGCCTCCCCACATCAGAGACAATTAGTCCCCGAGCACAAGTACAAACCCACTGGGTACGGCCTATCAGCCAGGCAGTCGCAGTACACAAAGGCAACTCGTGTGAAATAACTTATTCTGCTTGTAATGCGAATTGCCGAGGGGGGGGAGGGAATTAAAAAAACCCAACATGAAAGATTACCTTTCATTTTTTGATGTGATTTGCAGTATCTGGTGAGCGAGTTGTACTATCACTACATGTCCTCTTGTGCCTGGTTTAACACCAGCGGCAGTCCAGTGGCAGATTCTGATCTGAGATATGATTCCCGGTTTTCACTGTCACAGCTCAGATCAGAAATACACCTAAGCCTGTATATGACCAGGACAGACACTGACAGGAGGAATCTTGCTGCCATGTATAAAGATAAGGCATGGAAAAACAGAATACAAGAGGAGACCAGGCTGACTGCTCTTATCCACAAAATTCTCTCTGTTATTCAGGGTTGTTAAAATAAAACATGTAAACTCTAACATTACTGTTAATATGAACATCATAGTTCACAAAAGAAGAGCTGTCTTTTGCATCTTCCTAGTATTAAAATACTTCGAAGATAAACAACCTAGTACAAGGCTGAAGATCCTGCTTGGGCTATAACATGCGGTTGGAAAGGCAGGAAAATGTCACAGGTAAAGATTTTTGCAACCATTCCTCCTCCTCACTGTCTTTTCAGACTCAGTGGTTTAAAAGGGAATAGAAGGATACAGTGGGTACTGCAAGGTCAACAGTCTGTAATTCAAAGATTTTTTTTTTCTCCCATTTCATGCACTGTATTTTGTTTTCTACTATATTAAGCCAAGATCATTAATATTTCAAGACCTGAAGAAAGCTCTCCAAATGCAGTGGCTGCTCCAAAAGCACACACAGCCATTTTGCTTCAAAAATCACCTACTCCTGAACAGTTAGTTTTCTTCATTTTAGTGTGCTCAGAGATTTACCACGTTTCAGCACGTGGCATAAAAGGACATTAGAGATTGTGTTGCATTAAACCAGTAGTTCTTTACCCCTAAGAGCTCCATGGTACCGTCACTTAAAAAAACTCAAATCTAATCCTGTAAAAGCTGTTCTTAGCATGAAGTACTGCTGACACACCTATTACAACCAGCTCCTGTTAAGGCTACGGATGGGCTTTTTTTGAAGGTTAATGATTTAGTAGGCAAACAAGAAGCCTGTACAGAACCTGTTCCCTGAAAGTCTTTATTGCTTGCTCATGACAAATCTTCATGCGGCTGCTTTTCTAGGAAGGATTTGCTGGGTGAGACCTGGCATGAATGGCGTTCTTACACAGCTTTCGAAAGATACCATTGTAAAAAGATTAGTTCACATGTGCAATGCAAACTTTGAATTCAATTCCCTAGCTTTGCCTTAATTAGTTCTTTCAGTTAGGTTTTTTTTTAAGAAAAAAAAAAAAGAAAAATCTTTTCTTGCATTCAGATCACCCACAAACATAACAAGGTTACAATCATCTGCACTAGATCCAAGGAAAATTCTCTAACAAAAATATTTTCAGTATGAAAAAGTTTTTTCTCAGAACAAATCACATTGATTTTAAATGGACATCAGCTTGAAATAATAGAATAATTATGTTGATAACTTTGAGTTCTTTTTAATTTATATTTCTCTTAAAGTGAGACAGCATTTGTCAAACGTTGCCGGTCATCTCTACATGCCTTTTTTTAAAAAATTTACCAGACTGATACATGTTAAAACTGCAAAAACTGCTCTGAAGAATTGTGGAACTTCAGTCAAGTCTGGATGTAAATTTTCTCTAGCTGTTTTTCAAACTCTATTTTCTCATTAAAACCTGGGTTTCAGACTCTTATGGCTTTCTCAAAAAAAAAAAACCCCAAAAACAAACAAACAAAAAAGAATGCTTGTGTGCGCTGGAAAGTCTGCTTGCTTGGTCTCTCCAAATTCTGAACCTTCTATCAGAAAATTTCAGCCAGCGATTTCAGAATTTAAAAACTCAACTTATAGTGGATGGGGTTCTAGTCACATTCTTTTTAGTCACAGCTACAACAAAATATATGTATTAAGCCATTTTTAACTATTTTTAAATAAGCTATACTTTTTTCTGATTTTGGGGGAAAAAAAAAAATCTTTAAAAAAATTACTTTTGCAAATTTAAAATTGTTAAAAAAATCCCGCAGTGCTTGCTCTTAAATTGTTCCTTTGTCCTTGTTGAAATGGCAATGAATCTTTACATCATAGTTTGGAAAAGGCTTGACGTGCTTTATAGTTCTTTAAAAAATAATTTAAAAAAAAAGAGTGTAATGTCTTGCAAAGGCTTGGATAAAGAAACTATGCCAATCTCTTTGTTGACAAGTTCCTAAATCATTAAAAATGCAGTGCATATCTTAAAAAAATCTCCGCGAGCTCCAGTTTGAGGCTTTGGTAGTGCCGTGGAGACAGCGCTCTGCTCTTCACCCACGAGAAGGCTAAGTGGGACTCTGAACCGGGGAGGGAAGAGGCCCCCGAGCCAGGTGGAGCTGGCTGAGCTCTGAGCAGAAGACGGGACAGGAAAGGTCCCAGCGAGCCAGCCCTGCACTGACGGCCACCGGGCAGGAGCTCCTGCCGCAACCACGGACCAACGCCAGAAGAAGCAGTTTCTACCTGCTGCCTCGGCCTCTGCTGAAGAGGCACAGGAACGCTGGACCGCAGAGCCATCACCCTATAAATCACTATGCTAAAGGCTGCAATCTCCAAATGAGTTCTGCAAGGAAAGGGCCCTCAACCAGGACAGGCTCAGCAACCAAACACAGACCACGCTCCCACTGGACCCCTTCTTCCCAAAAGGGACCAGCACACCACTAAGAACATTTATTATCACAGGCAAGTGAATAATATAGCTAAAAACTTGTAGCTGAAATTTCAGAAACAATGCATTTAATACTTTCCATTTTTTGAAGCAGAAAAATGTATCAGCTACATAGTCACAAAAATTTCAAAATTCCTTGAGATGCAACAGAACAGAAGAGGGGAAACATTTTTTAAGTCAATGACTGTAGCCAACTTTAATGAAAAACCCTAAAATAATATTCTTGGTGAAATGAAGGACAAAGCAAATAATTTAAGAAACGATATTTCAGTGTCAGGCTTATAAATTTTAGTAGGAAAAGAAATTTGTGTTTGAAGACTTGAAAAAGAACTTTAATAGCATATTTCATGTCTTTCATCACTGGTTACTTCTTCTACAGCTCTTCCCTGTCTGGAAATATTTTAAGCTCATGTTTTAACTGCACCCTTAGGAACAAAAAGTTACTTTTATTTTTCCCCTCTAATGTTCTTATTCTTTAAGAGTATGGATTTTCTCTCTCGGATTGTAACAAAACCACATCTGCCACATAAGCAGGCAGCATCTTCTCAGCTTTCTTTTACTGTTATTATCATTTCTGAACAGATTTTTGTGTGTTAATTATAGAACTCAATTGTTTGGATAGTCTCTTTTGATGAGCTTTCTGCCCCGCACCATGAACCCCTCCGTTATTGTACAGCTGTTTTACTTCCAAATGCTCATAAGGGT